ATCGGAAGAAAGCACTTAAGCGGATCATCGGTCAGAATCGAATTCTCGGATATCCGATTTCCTTCTTGTGAAAAATTCGATACGATAAAGGCTACATCCGTTCGTTATTAGGATCTTGGTCAGCGAAATCGTTGATTTCTATGTACCATCAATACACGTTTAAGTTTAGGTTACATCGTGCTAGAATTATATCGTAAATTTATCGTATCGTGCACGCGACTTCTATAATGCTTTCGTCACGCGCGTATATTTTCATATACATCGTATATAATGATTTATATTTGACGATATAGTGTAGTTTCTGTTTCTAACTCGGGCGGGGTAAGCGCAATACTTTTCGACGCGTTATCGTCGATCTTTGTCTCGCGTTTCGATCCTTTCGCTTCTTTAGTATCCGTTTCCATATTTATGTTTCCTTCAACGACTTCGTAGTTCATTCGCGGGCCTGGTAGACCCGTGGTAGACCGTCAGCAATCGCGAATCCTTGAGCGAAAGAATGAAACGTGCGTTTAGACGCGAACGTCTCAGGGGCCATTGCAGTGCGTCGATCAATGGGTACGGTCTAGTGGAAAATCTTCGATGAATCCAGTAAAAGTCACACGAAACGCTCGCAATGACCCTCGGGATCGTTTCCTCCTTCTTCGTCTTCCGGAAACTTCGTATATTAAATTCGCGAGTGATAAAGGAATCTCTGTTGTCAGTCTACGAGCTACAAAAATTGCGTGACTTCTAAACATCGAATATTTCATTTTTTTTTTTTTTTCTTTTTTTCTTCAGTTGCCATTCATGTTGCCCGTAAAGTTAGTCTGGTAACCACTTGCCGATTGCTCTTCGTATTCGGCTCGACCAGCGAGCCTTGGAACGATTGTGCATCGTTAAATAATTAACACGTCGAAGGAAGCGTCTTGATTTTTAATTCGCCGATTTTTTCGACTTTTTTACCGATTTTTAGAATATTCTTTTGCCAACAGAATAGAGAAAATTCTGGTTCGTGTCGATTGAGTTGTTCGCACATCGTGATCCATGGTCATGAGATCGTGAATTATTTTTGTAAATCGAACATAAACATCAAGACGCTTCCCTGACGAGAGAAATACCTAACATGTTCACTGGTGAACATGCATGCATATTTATCCGATCGAATGCAAATCGGTTCGTACGTTATCCACGAGACTCGATCGAATCGCAAAGCTGGATCAACCAGAGCACGCGTTTCCGTGACAGATATCGATCGTCTCTCGTAATGTCTCCGTCGATCCTTAATTTATGGGAAAAATGGACCCTCATCGTCCCTGCGGGACGTGGCATCTTCGTTTTCCTCCTTCGTCTTTCACATTTTAATAATTCATGAAAAAAATAGAATCTCTCTTACGTTGCTCATTTTCGTAGTCTCCTCATCTAGATTTTCTAGGTTGTCTTCTGTGAAGCAGGTTTGCACAGGTACACCCTTATTGCTAGAACCTTCGTGGACGTCCGCGAACGAATGCGAGGAAGATGAAAAGCCATCGCAGCGAAAGCTCGATACCCCGAGGTATCGACTTGCTCCTCGATTGTGTCTCTCATTCGTTACACGAACAGTGAATCGTTTAAAATCGGCTACCTTCGCGAAAGGCAGAGTTTGTAAAGGTTAAAAAGAAACAGTGAAAAACTGCTATTCTATTGTTAGTGAAAATACGAGTCATCTGGACGATAAATCTGGAGAGATCAGAGTTTGATTGTCTTTCATTTCAGCGCCGCTGGATCGCGATACGCGAACAAAATGGGGGATCCAACCGAGTCAGCCGGTACAACGGAACCCCAATAGTCGAAGCCTCGTTTATCGTCGACGAGTTCCAGTTAAATGCATTCAGTCCGGCAGCAATGGAGGTATCGACCGTGACTATCTGACTTGGACTCCCGTTATCGCTCATTGTCTCGTCCGTGAAACTTTTACCAGTGAACGTAACTCCATTGCTGCTCGCCTGCTTTTGTCTATAGGACGAACTTCGACGCTTGGCCACCGACGATCCATCTGACGGTTCTAACCGTCACACTCTCGACGATCGAGATTCCGAGGTACGCGAGACTATTGAAACAAATTGCACGTAGGTAACGAAAGAACTCGCGTTCGGTCGAAGACCTGTTCGAGAAATGGCAACAAAGGGCTAAATAAGGGAAGAATTTCGAATAAACGAAAGCTGTCAGGAGGAAGAGTGACCGGTTCCATCAGGAGATGATCTTCACGACGGACTCGTTCTCATCCTTGAGCAACAGGCTCAGTCTGAGATCGAGTTCTCCGGCCTCGAGGGCCCATTTTTCCCGGAGCCATCATGGAGAGTCAGCGGTATGGGTGCCAAGCGTGTGAATCGGGAACAAGGGGTACCAATCCACTGTCAACCGTGTCAGTGGCAGAAGGTCGAGGCTCACCTCGGCCCCACCTAAGCCTTGATTACTCTCGAATGCTTGCTTTTTCTCCCATAGCATCACCAGCAGGTTCCTACCGAGCACGTCGCAGCTGCTGTACTTGATGGTCTGACGGTATTGCGGGTTCCTCGAGTGCCGTATCACGCGCGTTTTACGCTTCTGCAGCCACCTGTCGCCGTCTCGGAGATACGTTTTCACGTAGGTGTCTGTATATAAAGAGTCGAGTTAATTGTTAATGCTTTTGCACGGTAGTACTGGAGGATGTGTTTTCTGTTGGTAAAAGCTTTTATATAGTTCATATTTCGCTTTGGATGGATATTAGGTGGAGTTTGATAGTACTGACAGAGTAGCATGGTATACTAGAGGTACTCCTCGAGGAGTATGAAGAATGTTTAATCAATATATGGATTTCAAGGTTTATATTTTTATTGTAAAATTAGAAAATTAAGCACACAAGTTGGAAATATTTGTGTTATACTACTATACTGTTGAACGTTTTTGAAGAGGCATAGAATGTTCTGTAGTGTGAGAGAAGAAGTGCAGATATACACTGGACACGAAACAAGGTTATATTAGGTATATAGTGAAGAGGAAAACTGAATCTATACTACGTTAATATTTGAACAGAAATATCTTTGTGAGCAGAAATCATACGATAACATTTGTTAGACCAATATAAAGGACAATTCTCAAACTTTACATTCCTAGATTTAATTCTTACTTAGGTGCTTTTAATTGTAAAAATTTAAACGTTTATAGTTTCACTAAAAAATTTTTTTCAGGGGTCTAAATTACTAGGAATCGAACCACTGAAGTATCCAATTTGAAGAAACTCCATGAAAGTTAATGGACGATTTTTCATTTTCAAGTGATTACATTTTGAACGAAGAGTTCACTACTGACACGATAATAACTAAGGAAGTTAATATGCTAGAATATTATTCAGGATACAGCTCTATTTACACACACCAGTCCAGTTTATTCCAAGTGAAATCAGTTGGCAACGAAAAATCGCACGTTGATTTCCATGGAATTTCTGAAAACTCAAAATTTCTGAAGACTTAAGTAATTCGATTCGTGGTAATTTGGACCCTGAAAAGCATCCTTTTTGTTTACTAAGTAAACACTGTTAGACTTTAAAGTCACAGACCTTTACTTCTTAAAAAGGTGTTAACGTGTGTAAAGGTGTTGAAAGGTGTCAATTTTTTAATTTAAAACACTCAAAAGATACGTTCGACGAAAAAGCTTCTAGAGCAGAATGGAAAGTCGCTGAGGTTAGTTTAAAGCATGTCAATGGAAAAAGTTAAAAGTTACCTGGTTCTTCTTTTTCGCCGGGACAAATGTCTCTGGCACATATAACCTCGACTTCGAGCGTTCCCTTGCTTAGGCAGAAACCCAGTTTCACCTCGCCGTTTTGACCTCCTAAAATCCATGAAAAATTCACACAATTGACCTAGGATTTCTGTGAAGGGAACCTTCTTTGATAAATTCATTCTTCCTTCCTTCTACGAAAAATTTCGTATTAATACGAACAACACGCGAAAAAGAAAATAAATATTCGTAATATGAAATCAAAGTAGAAAATCGTTCCCGAAATTAAGTTAATAAATTATTCTGAAAATTAGATCGACATTGCGAGGTACCAAAGTTTTGGATTCTTTACCAGGTATTATCTTGAATCCCTTTGGTGGCACTTGTCCGCGACCTAGCTTCGCGTCAATGCCATTTTCGTTCCTCGTCGGCTGACTAAAAGTGAAATAGAACAGAAATGCGAGTGGAGATTAATATAGAGTGAAATGTAGCAAGAGGTATAAGAGTATACGACAGAATAAGCCCAGAATATACGAGGCTGGACTACTAGGACGCTATTTTCTAAAGCTAGAAATCTAATAGACTAAGATGTGAAGCTTACGTTACGATTTCATCGTTTTTCTCGTTTCTATTAATTTTTACACAGAGCTAAGTTTTAACGTGTATCTGTAAAGTAAATGACATTAGAACGTGGACTATATATAAATGTTTCGATTGATGTAACAGAGTTCATAATTTGTGGTGTACCATTATTCCCCGTGCCGTTTATGACGCTCGTTAACTTCAAACACCATATCGCGTTCAATTTACGTAGCCGGTTTAACGATAAGTTTACGACATTCCTTGAAGCTTCGAGAACTTTTTTATGGGCATAGCTTAATTAAACAGCTTTAAAATTGACGAGGTAAAAAGCACCTCTTTCACTTTTCGTTAACGACGCGATTTCAAGTTAGACATAAAATTTTTCTGGCAGTTTGTAGTCGAAAGAAGTTATTAGAACTACTATCTTTATTAGTATTATATGGTGTTAATGCGTTTGAGAAATTTTGTTAAAGATGTTGGTTATTATTTGGTGTAAGTCAATTAGACAGTTATTTAAATAAGATCATTTCACTCGTTGAATTGCAAATAACGTGAAAGCAGGAACTAACGTAATTTATGTAGAACTATTAGTCTATTAATTAATAGATCCTTTTGAATATTTATGAAGTTATAGGGTACAAGGTACATTCGCAATTTTTAATATTGGCATTAAAATTACTCGAAAATTTTAATCGGAATGTTAGCGTAAACATCGATTGCTTAAATTTCAATTAAATAATATAGTTATCTCATTATTTTTACAATTTTTCCAAAGAAATTTCACTGCTAGTAAGGAAAATATGCCGTTTAAAATTCTCGATACCACTTCCCTTTGTTAGCAATCCTTTCAAGATACAAAATTTGTCTTTGCTTATTTGTCTGTGGTGAATATGTGAACCGTATATTTTGCGATCCAATTAATCAATAAATTAGAATTTTTAAAAATTCGTATTTAAACGTATGTTTTTCCTTATGACTACGGATTTAATTAAATAGAAATTCTACTCTATCAAAATAAAATCTGACCAATTTAAAATTTGAACCTCGCCTGCATCCCACTAATACAGGAATGAATTCAGTTAAATCGTGCTCGTAATTTTGATTTATACATCCCTTTGTAGCTTACCTCCATTTGTCCTCCTCCTCTGATTCACTGTTGCGATCATAAAACCTCTCCGGAATATTCATGATGCTGTCTTTGCGCTCACCCCGCCCTGTGAGTCAGAGAAAAATATTTCCTTTCTGTGACCTCTGCATCTCGCGATTACCCGCCCACCAACCTGCGTGTCGCGTGATTTATTTTCTTTTTTTTCTCCGGAATAACACGTTGATTTTTCTGTTTGCCCGTTGCTCGTGACAGGCAGAAAGAGATATCCTCCCTCGTTTCTCTCCCTTAACTCCGTGTACGCTCGCACGCCACACGCAGATTGCCGAGGAGTCGTTGCTCGAAATCCATTTTATGCATACTGAATCTGGCTGTCTACTCGGGGATTCATACTTTTCGAACAAAGCCTTACGTTTCACAATCAACGAAGCTCTCAACTTGTGTCAAGTGTCCTCGGAATTGCAAAGCATCCCTTGCTGCGCGTACTTAGGTATATCATGTTCGTGAGATGTGGAGTGAAAAAAGAAAACGGAGATTGAGATTTCGTCGAGGGATTGTTTGTCGAGTATTTATAGAGTCGGTCGAGATATCAAAACAACGCACGACGATCTATATAAATACTACTCTGTGGGATTATATCCAGTGTCTTCGAATAGAGGTTGTAGTTATTAGTGTCGTTGGAGGAATAAAGGTTTAATGTGTCGATGAGTAATAACATTTATATAGAAGTAACGAACAAACTGTTCGAGTATCTTCAGTCGTTTAGAGATGAATGGCGTTATCAGGGTCCACACAGGGATGAGGGGAAGACTCGAAGATAGTTCGAGGATTCTTATAGTAAGAGAAATTCTTGTGCAGCTGTAATTGTAAATGAGTGGTGTGCAGGGTAGATGACGTGAGAATTGTCAATCTGTTTATTTCAACAACTACGTTTTCATAGAAGGTAACGCATCTAGTAGTAACAACTTGCTTTCAACTCACTCGCGTCGACGCGCTGCAAAGTTGCGTGAATTTGTGAAATTTCAACGAAATATGTGCAATTTTTCGCTTCTTCTTTATTACTACTTTATTTCGAATTTAAATATTTACAGACGTCATTTAAGTTTTGGTCAGAGAATCCAAACCTCAACAACCCTCAGGTATATACGAGTACATCAATCATCAGACGCGAATGAGTTGATAAAGAACTGTATGAAAATTAAAGTAGAACTTTTTGCAGTCATCAAAGTGTACAATCAAAGAAGGGAAAGATAAGAAGAAATCGTCGATAGGGCAATCGTAAATTTAAAAAATATATAAAAAAAAGTAGAACAGTGAACCACACCAAAGCCTACTTACGCTTTTCTTAGCTACGTGTTGCAAAACTCTAGCTAAGAATGGAACAGGTACGTCAACTGTAGCTATTTCTTCAACGTCTACCAAATTACTGCAATTTCGAGATTGACATTGCTATTACCAACTACCAACTACTGTGTTTATCCGACCTACCGAGTCTACGTGAGGCAGGTACAGTAATTTATAGTGTGATGATAGGTTGTAGATAGGTTGTAGAGACACGTATTACAGTTGTGGAATTAGTCATTCGATCCAGCAACATTAATCATGTAAAGTTGACTCCTATGCGGATGGAAATTGAATCATTGATACTTGCACGTGCTATTATGGTTGATTCGAATTAATGTTACTGTATCTTCTAACATTGCTATCGTTAAATGAACTTCGAGAACTGGAATTATTATGAAGTACCGTATTTTTCTTAGTATTTTATGGTATAATCCATTATTTTACCTTAGTGTATGTGAGATATCTATATACACAGCATTTGGAGGAATATTAAATAATCTGAATAAATATTTAAATAAATATCGTATATAGGAGGATACAAATATATTATTTTAAATATATTTATATTTCTGCAGTTAAATGAATATCAAATTAAATATTTAAATTGATATTTGGATTTTAATAATATTTCAATGATTCTTTGTTTCTATTATTATATCTATATTTATTTGAATGTACGCAGAGATTGATTAAAGTTTAATAGCCAGCGTTCAGTAACAGCAACATTCCGATAGATATCTGAGAGTCATGTCAGAAATCTGTCATCAAGCATGTCTGGTACGAATACCGATAGTCTGGTTGGAATCTATCGGAAGATTATGGCAGGATTGAAATTAATGGGTCAATTTGTGGCATGTTTGATGATCAAAGCAGTAAGCTACAGACGTACCTCTTTGCATTATCATTTAACTGAGAGAATTCAATTCATGATCAGAATTCCCTTTACTTTATCAACGACAGATCGAAATACGCGACTTGCAATGAACATTATATTTTTGTACGCAATGATACATCATTATTGAGACATTCCTCTTGACATTAACCAGTGATAATTCCAAAGTTTGAAATTTATTTCGTATCCACTCTCATATTAGATTCTGAATGTTACCATGCTTAATAGAAGGAAGCAAGTAGTATAGGTCGATCATTATTGAGCCACAAGCACGTAACTTCCTATTTTCTTCCAATTACTTTCGCAAAGCATTCCCATGTATTTTTAAACGTGTTCTCTTCGTGAAAAATAAATTTACGTTCTCAAAGTGCACTTAAAGACACATCGACGTTCGGTTTATCTTACCTAAAATCATGACTGTAGATATAGCAACGAGTGGTTAGCGATCAAGTATACTCTACCGCTAATAATACAATATTAAACGAGCACTTTAATCTACGAAGCACTACGGATGCGAGTAGACAGGAGATCGGAGCAAAAGGGCAGGAATGGGAATAGAACTGCTCTGTAACACACGAGTCTCCTACAGAAATAATACCTTGACAGAAATTTACCGAGTACAGGGTGCCTTTAAATATCGGTACACACTTACATTTAGAGCAAACGTTTCGAGCATATTACAATTATCCGTGGGAACGTTTTACGTACTTCCCATATAGTTTCTTTCTTAATACTCTAATCGAAAATCTCCTCCATCAAGAAACAAGATTTCGATATCGGAATACCATACCAAATAACAAAATTTAAAAAAAGGCACACACACACATACATTGCTTCAAAGATTTCGTCTCGTATATCGAAATACGATAAAAGGATTTAAAAAAAAATAAATAAAATAAAGTCAGTTACCAAAATACTCGTCGATTATTGAACCCAGCAGAAAATAGAATAGGATAATCAGCAAAGTGGAGCGAAGAAATAAAAGTGGGCAGGGAGGTGAAAATATAACGTGGAACCGGAAATAACGTTCCCGTTTAACCAGAATAGGCAAACAGATAAAGTACCTAACCGGTAGGCGAGGCAAACGTGTGGGCAGAGGGGACGAAAGGAAGAGAAAAAGATGGAGAGAGGAAGACCAAGTGGAAGATAGGCATAGTGTGAGAGACAGAGAAAGGAGAGACAGAGCGAGAGAGAAAGCGAGAAAATGTATCTTACCGGAAGCCCGTGACGGTGGTCCACAGTGTCCTGTGGTTATTTATCGAGGTGGTATGGAGTGCGGCAGTGGGAAGGAGGCCGAGTTACCGGTCCTCGGAGATACAGGCTCGCACTGATACACAGTAACCGTTGGGACTACGCACGCTGTTGTCGTTGATCGATGATGTTGTGGTTGGTCGGTCGATCGAGCCCACGATTCGTCGTCGATCGGGGTGTCAGGATGGTGACGATGGCCGATGGCGTTTCGACCGAGCGAACCGAGCATTTTGATCGACCGTGTATGCATGTCAGAGATTGCCGGACGGTGCCGACCGAGAAAGGAGATCAAGAAAATCAACAAAGAGACAACATTGACAGAACACTCGCGCGGCGTTCTTCGTCAGCGGATCATGAGAGAAGACGAACACTCAGTATAGTGGAGAACACGATCAGCGCATAGCTTTTGGCACTTGGCGTTTTGGTGGTTTCAACGTGAACGAGGAACCAGGCCTGGCGGGGTGTATTGTATAGAGGTCTTATTTTGTTGTCTTTTTTTTCGTCTTTTGTTTTCAGTTTCGTCTTTTCGACACGTTGACAAAGAGTGGCGTGCAAAGGCACGCGAAGGAACCATTGGGAGCAAGAGCGAAGGAGAGAAGAAACCATGGCGTTTCCTCCATCCACTTTCGACCTCCTCCGTTCGTGTTTCCTTTCTATTTTTATTCGCGTTATTTAGCCTTTGCTTGCTTGTGTATTGGAGTTTTGTGTTTCTCTGTTCGCCAATCACTTTGTTTCTCAGTCTTGTCGGATGATGTCGGGTCGTTGGTGTCTCAGGCTGGCACAGGCGGAACGAGTACTCAGCGACAGGCAACAGCGGCGCAACAGCGATCGCACAGAGATGAGCATAGAGCACAGATCATTGCGACGAATGAACTTTTGGAAATGCCAGCTTCTCCAATGAATAGATAGACAGACAGACAGAGACAGGATGACGATACCGCGATTTCGCACTGTTCGAACGCGAGGCATCCGGCTACGTTCTAGACGATCGCACTTTCCATAGTATCGACGAGTGGCTCGCTCGTTCCGAACGATTAATCCCTTTCAAACGATCGAGAACTTCGAATTATAGCAAAACACGTGTGAGTTATCTTTGGCTCGAGTGAATCGACGTCCAAGTTTTTATTCTTCCAAGCTACGTGCATACGTCGTGGAGACATGTCTCACGTCCCTGGTCACGCCGAGATAGTACGTCTAGCAGCTACTCACGAGATCGATATCACGTAAAGAACAATGAAAATATTAACCTGTTAACTGCGTTACACGTTGGTCAGGAGACCAACATTGTCACGGTCCCTACAGTCACAGTTCTTGACAATGTTTAAGCGAGAGTCAATTTCAGTTAGATATACTTCAAATCAAGAAAATGAAATTAAAAAACTATATGTTTCGAAACGTAAATAAATTGAACTCATTTATTTTTAAGAACTGAAGGAGAAGATATAATATATGGAAGAATTAATTATGACGTCTATCAGTGTAGTACAGTACAGCTAACAGGTTAAATAAGGAGCATCTGAGACTTAATGTGAAAATAAATTTTTAATTATTTTTAATTAAAACTTACGTCATTTCGAACGAAACAAAAGCGAAGACTCTCGAAAGCAAACGACAGAAGATTTCTAACAACAATTTTCGTTCGATGATCAATCGTCGATTGTACAGTATCTTGGATATTTCGTCAAATAAAGAGAATCGAGATAAACGGATAATAAATGACAATTGGACTGGTCTTTTACGATTAGTCACCGTATATAAGTTAACTATTCAGAACTCTTTTTCGACTATATCATTTCTATCGATGCACCAAACAACGCTAGCCTCCCTTCCAGGCCGATCCGTTTCCGGTTCGAGAAATTTTTGATTCAGTATTGTACGAACGAGACTCTACGGGGACTAACTTGGACGGAAATATTGTTAGGATACTTTGTTCGCTCGGTCAAATCGCGCGAGATCGATGGGACGTGATTACACGAAGGCACACGGACAGAGGAAAATTGAGAAACAAACAGTGTGAAGTAAAACGTGAGGTGAGAGAGAGAGAGAGAGAGAGAGAGGACGAAACATGGTATCGCACAGAGAACACACATAAGTGTAAGATAATAAAGGGCCGTGAATGACGTATGAGAAAATGCATAAAAATGTACACAAATGATACGGACCTACACATATATGCAATGTAACATTCGTCGGTGAATTTACTGATTCTATGCTTGTAATTCGTAGTGACATATTCGAGTTTCTAGTAGAACTTCAAGCAGAGAACAAGTTTTAGTTTTAACAGACTTAGGGCAACGAAGAGAAATTTATTTTCAAGGTACACCAAGGTATATGATGGTATTAGTATTATCAATAACTTAATATACTTTACCAGCTTTATTAGGCATTTATGTCCAAAGAATTCTTCGATTCAATGGTCCAAAGTATATTATAGTATCAATAATATTAATACACAGTATGGTACACAGTATAGTACTATATTTGCGATATAATATATTACAGTATCATTCCCAGATTTATTAAGAATTTATTTTCTGGAAGAAAGATCTTTAACCTAGTATCCCGAAGTATACTACAATATTAATACAATATTATAGTAATAATATTAACAGTATTATAGTTAATAAGATATCATATTTTAAGTATTATTTCAAGCTTCGTAGACTACTTTCCAATGAAATCTACCAAAAAAGTAAATAAATTTCTCGAAATGGTACCCATTCGCTGTGACTTGTCATCAGAATGATAAAAGGAAACGCGAATCACGATTTCTGAGAGTGCTATAATCATTTAGTTCTATATACTCCGGTGTCGCGTTAAGCAAATCGAATAGAATCGGATGCAATCGAATTAAATCGAATCAAGGCGTTTGATAATTACTCTATCCGGTCTAATTCGGTTTACCTTGCCACTACACGGATACATGTACGTCCGTGCACATACATTTATTCGCATGCGTACGATACGCACGGCGCCGGCCAACGAGGAAGATTCGATCCGCTGATCGGCTGTTGGACGAAGATGGATCGAGCCGACCGACGATCCAACGATCAAGAACGGTGGTGGTGAGAAAATAAGAGAGATAAAGAGAAAAAGAGAGAAAACAGAGAAGAAGGAATATAGAAATAAATCGACGAGCGCATGAAAGACAGTCAGACAGATAGACAGACGGACAGACAGGCAAACAATTGCACGGATGGATGAACGAACTGACGGACGGACGAACGAATGGTTAGGCGAAATGATGGCCAAAAGAGAAGCAACGTAACCATACTCACGGCTCTCGCGTCTTTTGTCTCCTGAGAGACTCATCGTCCTGCCAAGCTCCCTCTTAGCCGCTTTCAATGATCGCAGACCCTCTAGAATCTCTTCGTGATCCCTCATTGGTCTGGTGAACGAGCTTCGTCGTCGATCACGGTTGTAGGGCACTGAAATCGGCATGTCAGCCTCTCCCATGCTTCCACCTGGAAGTATTCCGTTGGATATGTATGTAGGGATACGTTTTGATGGGCAAATATAGGGAATCAAAGAGGTTATTAATTCCAATATATTTTATTTACCAACTAAAGAGACCTAAGAGTAAAGATACAAACTAAAATATCAAACTAATTACACAATCCACACTTGCACGTCAACTCTTCGAACTCTCATCGACTCGACTTTCTTTCAAACCTCGTATCGCACTTTCACCAACAGGACTGTCCCAGGACAGCCCTTGCACCCTCGTTTAAACCTTGCACTCTATCTTCTTTCATACTCGAGCTTTCTTCCTCAATCACGCATTTCCCATAGCCTCGCTCCCGATGGGCCACGTGCTTTAAACATTCAGGCACCTTTCGCTCTTTACTTGCATTCCATACAGTCATAAATATTCCGTTCATCCGATCACAATATATAGTTTTATGGAAACTCGAATAGTTAGTTTAAAAATTGTTAACCAGTTTCTAAAATTAAATTAACTATTTAAATTAAACAAATTAATAACTTATTTGTCATATTTCACTGTTCCTCGATATATAAAATTAAACATTGAATGGACCTCTTTTAATCTATTAAAATACGAATAGAGGCAAATGTTGAAAATTGTTTTAATAAAACTCGTTATAACTAATAGCACTTCGGAATTCAACATTCAAAGCGAAAATTAATTATTTCGCGAGCTCCCGTGCATTTTCATTATTTTGAAGATGTGTTCAGAAATTGAGTAAACAGGAATGAATTACCATAATCCAAGGGTAGCTTTGAAATCGAAGACATTGGGAAATAGAATCTGTTCGTTTGAGGGCAAGGACGTAAACGAAGAGAAGTGCCATGGGCGACCTAAAATTTCCACAACGATATCTCGTCTCAATGGAAGTTTGATTTTCAACTATGACCCAGTTTTTACAACATATAATGCTAAAGTTAAACAAGCACGATTCAATCTGATCTGGATCCCATAGGTTTGTTATTCTCTTCCTTGCTTCAGAAAGTCTGTTTAGTAAAAAACAAACAATTTAATGAATTCGAAGCATAAAAGTAGGCTTTAAAACACGAAGAAGCATTTCATGCGAAATAAATTTAGGTGAATTAATTATTAATTTAATTTGAGTAATTTTAATTTGAATAATTATAATTCTCTAGCGTGAACATATCTTTTAAAACAACGCTTTTGATATATAAATACTTTTATGGATTTTAAATACATTTGTCTACCGTCCAGCGAATCGTAATATTTATTTAAAATTTCTTTTTTAATTTTGGTTATAGCCTTGTGACGATTTATTTTATGCTCTATATTCTGTGGGTATTACAAGGATTTTCCTGCACAGAAATAGAAAGATTGAAATGTCAACGAATATTCAGAGAGATTCTATCGAAAACTACTAGAAAATAATGGTCCCTTCTTCACTCTTTGGATTACACTGTGTATTCTCGCGCTGATTTGACTTTTTCCAGATATCGACATTTTCATTATCACTTACTTTTCACACATATTCGTTCCCTAATGGCATTCCTCTGCTCGTAATAATGGACGTACAATTATAAGAATTCATTCGACACATTTCACTCGTTTGTAGCTCATCGATTTTTACGGTATAATAATGTATGCGCGATAACGGTGTTCTAATATTTTATGAATACGATATTTATGGCCAGAATTAATATTATTTATACGGTAATTTAAGTCGTATAACTCGTTCCGACAGGAATGATAAATTGACAGAAAAAAAGTAATACATAAGTAAAGGTTTTCAAAGCAATTCAACATTCGAGTGAAATATTGGATATAAAGAAGATTCATATATAGCATGTAACACGGGACAAGTAAAAACAGAATAGATTTATATTTTGAAAGCTAGAATTTGTATCTGGTTGATAGAAAGTGAATGATCGATTGAAACAAACCTGGATTTATTGTGGTACTGACAATACGTTCTACTGTACAATACGCATTCGAATGGTCTATTTCACACAGACAGGAAGAAAACTATATACATGATTGAATTCTCCATTGAAAACACAAAGTGTGAGAAAAAAATGACAGGTAGTGCTAGTGTTATCACATTGATAACTTACTACATTCCTCACTAATCTGCAGACAAAAATCAGGAGATTCAGAGTCCACAAAAGAACTGACAGAACCTTCACCAAATTAAATCAATTTTCATTCATTAAATAAAACAATATAGGTTCGTTGACTAAACTTATTTACCTAATTCTGCAATAAATTATAAGTATTAATAAATACTTGTACAAATATCAACAAACAGTCTCACATCTGTTACGTTTAACGAGTGAAATATTTATGTTAAAGCAATTTGTATGAAATCATATTTTGTATACAGCAGAAAGTTCCAAACCTATATCAGCGTAGTTATGAACCGTGGTGGCGCTAGTGTGTTGTCTCGTGCGAGCAAAAGATCATCAACCAACCGAATCCTTTTATTTCCCACTTAAGGTTGATTTTAACTAATATTATATAATACATTGGAATATTTTTTTCTCCATTGTTAATACATGTTTGTAATAAATTATTTTCCAATTTTGCAGGTATGATCTTGAAACTCCCCTTTTGTTATATATACCTATGCAAACCCTCAAGTTTAACATGTTAATATACTTCACTTGTTAATAGCATCGAATGTAAACCTTCGAATACTTTCGTATATGGCCTTAATTGTAGGTAAGACAATTAAACTATTCACTTACGTTTGCTGTCAGTACCTCCTTGGCTCTGGAAGCTGCTCCTTCGGCTACCAGGCAAGGATCTGCTATAATCTCTGTTAAGTTCGTACGGTTCGACTTCTAGCTGCTCGGATTGGCTGGAACCTCTCCTAGAATTTGCATGCCAAGCGTGATCCGGGTGCAGGAAACCGAGCTCCGGACTTCCGCTGTCGCTCTGTGTATCGTCGCTGTAACTTCTTTCGCGCAGCTCCGTCTTTCGCAGTAACCTTTGGGCAATTTCCATAGAAAGAGAGCCGCGGGGAGAGCAGTACGGAGATTTGCTCGCGCGCCGGCCGCGAGGGTCTTCCAGTCGATACCTGCAAACGATTCCGTTCGAGGATTGTCGAGGATTGTCTTCGTGTAAGCTTAAGTTACTGTTGGAGACACGAGCCAGTATCTAGGGTAGTATATTTCGGGATTAGAAAGACGCTTAGTTGGCGCGGAGATGAACAGTTCCTTTTAAGAATATAATTTCTTTGGGTAATAATATAACGTGATATTATTTGTTAAAGTAAGAGTAGTGTAATATTTTACTTACAGTATGCGGTATAATCTTTAAAAATTTTAGTAATTCGTTATACAGACATTTTTGTCGAGGAGTGTAATTTTAGAAATGAAATCGAAATTTGATATTCATTTTTTAGAAGAGAAGTATGAGATAAAAATATCGAATTTGTGAATAAATTATTTATCCAGTTCACGATGGGGTTGAGAAGATTTGAGTAGAATTTACAGGTCTCGACATTTTTAAAAAATCTTTTAGAATAATATTAGTATTAACACCAAAATTAGCTACATATAATATATATCTAAATATACTTCTATAGTGTATTTAATATATATTTAATATATTATAATAACATTTAATGTAGTAAAATGAAAATAAAAAATCAACGCTAATTTCGACAAAAGCAATTGCATGGTTTTAGTAACTACGAGAGAAAATGTGGTGTCATTTTGATTGGTTTGATAGTTCCAATATTAGGTTACATTTTTATTGTATAGGTTATCGAAATTCTACCAAATTCGTTTACATTGAAATGTCATAGATCAAATTTCGTTTCAATTACAGGGTAGTTATCGAAATATCCATTCAAAATTGATGTCATATTCTCTTCGATATTGCAGATAATAAAATTCACGATTGCATGTGAATAAATATGAAACTAATAAAAGGATACATCATTGTATTTTGATCATTCTAAAATACTACTTACCAAACCGCCCTGTCATTCTCGAGAGCTCGCTGCAAATCAACGGTGCATTCGCCGAGAAAAACGTTATCGCCATCGGGACAGAAATCCCAGAGAGTCACTTCGATTGCTCGCTTCATTAAGCTCTCTCCATCAACCCCGGAGAAGAGCAATGTTGCATTCCAAATTGGCTTTTGACTTGGCTCCGCGACCTCGGTTTTCAAGGTAATTTGATCACCACTGAAACGTATATAACATTGAAGTATCGATACCTCGTGCAAAAACGTGAGGAAATCGACGTAAATAATTAATTATTTTAATCCGAGAGAAACCTAATCATCTACGACATATTTGACGAAATAATTTTCCAATTGCCTGACCAAGTATATGTTTATCCCCTGTTCAATTAAAGGTTCATCATTCTTACTGATGGTGTTAGAAATAAAAGACGAAATAATTTTCCAATTGTCTGACCAAGTATATGTTTATTCCCTGTTCAACTAAAGGTTCACCATTCCTACTGATGGTGTTAGAAATAAAAGTGTGATTATTGTTTCAAATGACACGTTCTTCCAATTTATTTTTAATTCTGCTCGTTAATTTCATTAATTAAAAATGCACTTCTTCATGTGCTTTCAATTTTAATTTTATTACACCCCTGGGAAGTTGCGAGGTTCTGTGATTAAAGCAAGGGTGAAATAAATATGATATCAATTACAGCTAAATTCTCAACGGAAAAATTTTTTCCGAATTATTCTAGATCTCCTAAGGAAGCAGAGGATGACAATTGTTCATCTAAGGAACGATGAGCAAGTTATAAGGAAGAAAATTAATTCCGTCATTCATTTGATGCTTAGCGACTTCTTTTCCTTCAGTCGAGGGTCTATTGGTAAAATAATCCTTCAAAAAATTGTCTAAAACGACTATTTAATTATTTACCAAGATTATAGTACATTGGTACATAATAAAAATCCTGTCAGCAGACTTTCACCACACAAAGGCATAACGACACATCAACAACCACTGATATTCGATTACTTCTCTCAAAAATTACTTTTCAAATGTGTCAATGAATTTTAATTTTCAACTTATCAAATCAGAATGAACACCAATTTACAGTTCACCTGTCACCGTCCAATCTCTTTAATTACAGATATCCCTCGAGATTCACGAGGCTAGAGTTACACGATTTTACACAAATTTTTATCAGAAGGGAGCAAATAATCAGGATTTCTCATATGTTTGAACTCGTTACTTATCATTTCCATTTGGAAAATGGAAATTTTAGTCTCGACTTACACGGAAGCTGTTAACACGTTAAGTGCCTAGCCCGTCTTGCTTGCCATTCCGTTCAGGCCCAGAATTGGCCGTCAAGTGGGAAATACTGTACCAATTGTTATAACAGGAATTCTCAAACGTTAGTTTCAAAGATGGCGAAGAATTTAACACCAAAATTTAGCACCTTTTGGTCCTAGTTTGGGCCGGTCCCTGAGGACCGATCGGGCCCAAACGGAAAGTCTAGCGTCGGTCCCTGGGGACCCGCATGGCATTTAACGTATTAATCGTGTAACTCGAGAAATGCCTATTATTTAACTGCTAGATTTCTTTCGGGCAAGGCTTATTTACATCGAGAACTATTCGTAGTTTAGTCAGCGAAAAATTCTTATCGCCGTTTTTAGAGTGTCTTACCAAAACGGAACCAGGCCCAATTTCGCATACGCTTCCGGTAGCGTACCATATCCCGTGTCCTCTCTGGCGCACAAGTCGTCAGCCATGAAAACGGAAACGATCAGCTCCTTGCGATCCGCTTCGTACGAAACTTGAATCTGAACCCGGCCCGTCACCTGCTTCTCTTTCGCGATTTGCTCCTAAAATAGAGGAGAGGAAGCTGAAGATTCGCCGCTTGAAACGACGACGATCGATAAGACTAATGGCGAGTCTACGAACGAACAAAGACGTGATCTCCGTTTCCGTGATATCGAAGTCGTGATTTCGAGACCATGATAGTCAGATGAGCTTCGCAGAGAATAAGAAAGATTAGTCGAAAGATCGGACGTCTATGTTCCACACGTAACTCCAACGTGGAAATTAGAAAGCGGACTCATTCCATCATGCAGAAGCGACTTGTTAAGGAATATTCTGTCGGTTAAAGGCAAAAACGAACAATAGCGAGCAAACTATGTGTGATGCACCGATTACAGACTGTTCTGGTCGTGTCAAGAGTAAATTCTACGCGATAGCTCGCGTTTCTGCTCGACAGCTATAGCTACGGGAGCATGGTAGCGGGTATCAGTGATGAACAGCTTATTATTGTTATATCCTTGTTTGCCATACATTCGGTTAACAATGGAACTTTCGATCCGTCATGTATATCCAAACATAATTTTACACGGATGATTATAATTTTGGATACACAAATATGGTCTAACTTTATAAGTGACAATGATAATTCTGCTGAAGGCTCTTAATTTTTCAAATGCACGGAGTAAAATATCTGAACCCTGTTTTAATAACATTGATAATTATTGGGTTAAAGTGTCGCATAAAATAATAAATTTATTGATAAATAATATTCATTGGAGACTTAAATAGTGCTTCACTGATTTATTAAAGAATTTTAGGAATACAATCCTTGAATTATTCTTGTACACTAAATACATTTATTAAAAAATTTTAGGAATCCAATGTATTTAGAGTACAATGGTAATTCTTTTGATGATTTAATAATTAGGAAATATTTTGAATGATTTGGTATTATACTTCTAGCTTTAAAATGGCACAGGAATAAGTTACGTTTAATGTGAATTGAGAGCGGAATTCATTAATTTCATTGTTAAAGGGTATTTTAAAAATGTATTCAGGGAACGAGGATAATTCTTTTGAAGTCTCAACGAGTTGAAGGTACCTTCGTATTGTACGTAGAAGAGAATTTTAAATGTCCCCGCGGAAGGTGAATAATTCAAGGTTTTTAAATGGAATTGCTAGTAAACCGACACCTGGGTCTGAAGCTTTTGGTAAGCTGAGCAGCTTCAACTGGAAGTAATTCAGAAAATAACCTGGCGTTTGAAGTTGCCACAAGGAAGACTGTACTATTAACCGTTACGAGCGAGTCTATCAACAAGTTCCTACCATGAGAGCTCTTGCTAGGTAATTATGTTCTAGCTATTAAAGTTGAAATTCCAAACATTTATAAAAAAGTTTTTATTCTTGTATATAATATAATAATCTCTTTAAAGTAAAAGTAAAAAATAGAAATTACTTTAAAAATACCATTCTAAAAATCTACAAATTTTTATTTAAGAGGAATATCACAATAATTTGAAAAATAATGTGGAAAATAGAAAATTTTGATGAAAATAAAGGAAAAGTGTAGCTATACAATTCTCTATAGCAATGTTGCCTATAGAGGTGGATTTGTAGGTGATCACTATGATGGACGTTCATAGCAGAAGAATATGTGCAAATGCAATTCGAAGAAGGAATGAAAAGTACAAAAAGAAAATCAAACTGTTCATCACAAAATGAATTTTGCGTGCATTCTGCATACTACAAAACATAGTTTTTTGCAATATTTGAAACCTTTCCATATTTTTACATAATACAAATTTCGAGCACTTAGGAAGGTAGCAATTCCATTTAAAATTCGACGGAATGAGATTATGAGAATTAAAGTTTCACGCAATCTTGAATAATTAAGTACTCAAAACTTCGTCAAAATTCCAGCTTCCTTTACAAGGAGATTAAAATTCAATGCACTGTAAATTCCAAAGTTCCTCGAATACGTGGAAGAAACCAGACAAATTCAACTGTTTTTTCAGAATATCAAAAATCAACTATCAAATTTTTTCCTCCCTCGTCAAATAAAGTTTCATAACGACGCACGGAATTTCAATATTCCATTCCATGGGATAACCAATATTTAGTTCAACACATTGTTCTGACAAAGAAAATTCCATCGAGATCACAGTTGTTCATCACTGATCTGCACGATACAGCCAAGAAAAACGTTCGTTTCCTTCTTTCGCGATAACTGCACGCGTTTCCTGTTCCCGGCTCCTCTTCCGGTCCACTGGCCGCTGACGAATTCCTCTTCGTCCTCATTGTCTTATCGCGATCCTACCGTTTTCTCCTCTCACGCGAGGCAACGCTTCCTCATCCGCACGTGCCGTTTTCCCGGACTGTACGTTCTGCTTTGTGCCTGCTGAAATCAAAAGGTCTACGCAAGCGAGGTGTGCGTGTGGTCGCGGCGCTTTTTCGGCCTTAAAAGTTTCCATCGACGCGCAGTCGAGATTCAGATGGCGGCGGAAACGCAGCGAACGAAGCGGAAGTAACGATCGACCGTCGTAGCTTTCGTTCGAGTTAGCTTTGTCGGTCAAAATTTTGCTCGTTAGTGAAAATTTGTCGATCGCTTGAATTTTTTTTTTTTTTTTTTGTTTTTATCGTAGCTTTTTGGTTGGTCGCCGGGACAGGTATCGTTTCCCGTGCCTCA